AAGGGATGTACGTATCCATGTCCTTTTTTTTATAAAGTTACTTTGATTCGTTGTAAAAAAAAAAGAAAAGTGATCATTGGAAAAACAAAAGGAGGAGGAGCAGCAAGAAAATGCTCGGGCACAAGCTGCTACTGGCCCTCGCGACCCTCGCCTGCGGATCCATCACCAGCGCATACATAAGTGAGTGCACAACCCCTGTAACTTGAAAAGAAAAAAAAACCTCTAATTTTTTGCATGATGAAACTTTCTTTTTTTTTTTTTTTTCCATACTGTATCGATGCATGCTCAAAGGGGTGTATACCTGTACACCGGCTGCTCCACGCGTTTCTATCTTTTTTTTCTCCCTTTTTTTTTTTTTTTTTTCTTTTTTTCGAAGGTGGACAGCGGCCACTATAGGCTTCCTCCCTCGCCGAAGAGGGGGTTTCCGTTTTCACGACCGGGGGTATTAAAGTCGCCGCTTGGACACACGCACACCAGCTTACCTCTTTTTTTTTCTTTACTTCTCGTTCAGCGCGTCTGCTGATGTACGGACTACATCTACTGACGTGACGTGTCGTCTTAGTGTACATCATAATACTTATTACACGAGAGAACAGAGAGAACCGATGGTGTTGGGAGAGAAAAGGAGTCGGCTGATATTGAAATTGTCCGGTTCCGGTTGTTACAGCGTACACGCCGCGCTGCATCTTCTTCGTCTTCTCCTTCGTTAATATAACGCGTGCTACAGCTAATATGTACCTATAATACTCAAGTTGGACATAAGGGTGTACCTAATGGACTTTTCTTCTTACTCGAGTCGAAAACCCATGCAACAGAGACACGGAGATCACCAAATATACATGCGGTTATTTTATTTATTTTTTTTTTCCCCTCTGATCTCTTTAATGAGTAATCATTGGATTAAGGATACTTTTTTTTTTCACTATGATTCGATGATGTTTGACTAAAACCTGTTAAAAATTTTGAGAAATCGTTATGAAGGTGGTACCATGTGGCTGGACAAACAAGATTGACTTTTTAAAAAAATATTACCCGTCACGAACCATATAAATTCGATAACTATCGTTAAGAATCCTCGCGATGCGATTATCGTGCTCGTGTGAGTGTATGTGTGTGTACCTAATAAAGACAATTGCGACCCTCCGCGCATTAGTTGTCGCTCTACAATAATGACCGGTATTAAATTAACACCTTTTACAACTGTCGCTCATCACGCTGTTACTATGGACAAGTAAATTGAAGCGCCGAGAGACGACTATCTCTTTTCTTCTTCTTTTTCAATAGGTACACCAACGCGTGATCTACTATAAAGTATAGGTATATTGGGTTATCGGCACGCGTGCGAAACATTTTTTGGCCCCAACGGATGGAAAATCGGTTGATACCAACTAAAGCGCGATGGCTGTGCAATCGATTTGCTTATTAATGTATTTTAGTTAAAAAACCACCTGTACTGTCTGATAATCATCCTCTGAGCGTGACACGCAGAATTTTCTGGTTGGTCTGTGCCGCGCGTGAGTCGATTGTACCGGTTTTTTTTTTTTTTTTTTGTTCCCCCGACAAACACGATAGAGATTTGTTTTGCGTGTATTTGGAAAAAAAGTACAAGGGCATACCCCTCGGCTCACCAAAAGGCTCCTTCCTCCGAGGAAGTAAAAAAATCGACGCACAACCGGTTTCTTAGACTGTATAACCATAGGTGTAGACGCACGATCTGATCTCTCGAAAATATTCGACCTCACTTGGAAGTTTCTTATTCCGCCGGTGCTCGCTTTTGCCGCTCGCACAAGTAGCCCGTCTCCTCCTCTCGATCGCGCTTCGCATTAACATTACCCGCGCGTAAATCGTCAAACGAAAATTAAGGCAATTTAGTTTCGCTTTCGAGTGCATCACCGCGCGCATAAATTGCGTGTACGTGTACCTGTATATGCTGTACGCACAAGTACACACGGTTGGGGTTTTGGGAACAGGGAAACCTTTCGACGTCACGTAAACTTGGATGTGAAAAAAAAAAAAAAAAAAAAAAAGGGTGTACGCTGAACGTATCTGTGTACACGGGGAAGGAAATCTTTGTAAATCGGAAGTTGAGCGCGAGCGCGTGGGGGGGAAGGGAGGGTCCGAAAGGGCCAGAAATTCGATACGGAATCGGCCGTCGTCGTAGGGTTTCCGCGGCGTGTGCGCTGTTTTTTCGTCCATCGATTGGACAAATATATCGAGCCTCGCGTATCAAAGGCTAAGGAAAAAAAAAAAAAAATTGGTGCGTCATTTTCACGCGAACGACATACAATTCATACCGGTCTGTACATCACCGGGTGCGAATGATTCCGACAAAATAAAAAAAAAAAAAAAAGAAGAAAAATACTTTCATTGAAAAGTGCGATTCTTTCGAGATAAATGTAAATAGATAGCAATGCCGTGAGGTAAAAAATCTGCCGATGTACTTCATCGGAAGATTTATATTACACCCAGTCAATTTCAACCATCCCAAAGTCAAGTATGCCTATCATCTATATCTGTAATCGTTCAGTCCATCCATACCATAGCATATATATATATATACACTTGCAAACATCATGAAATAGGAACGCGCCGAGGCATGCAATACCATACACCTCGACAAGAGAGAAAGGGCTGCAATAAAAATGCTGGCGGTGTGAAAAAAAAAAAAAAAGAAAAAAAAGAAAGAAATTCATCAGAAACCCGTGATGCTGATCATAAATAAACTGAATCTGTCCATACGGTCTCGTGCAGTCACTGCCGATGATAAAAACGCGGAAGGGGTTTTCGTGATGTGCAATCCGATATGTGCATTTTGCTTGGATGCAATGTACGTGTAGGTATATAGGAGAGCAAAAATCGGTATAGGTGTAATAGGTATACCGACAAGTTGTTACGTTGCAGAGGGGATTTCAGAGATTTGTCCAGGGTTCAAGGGATGTACGTATCCATGTCCGCCTCGATTAAATTCATCAAATATCCCTGATGGGATCCTCGTCACCCTGTATCACGCCCACCACCAAAAGCTCTCAAATGAACAACACAATTGTGTACTACTCTATACATACCCATGGAGCGTATATGTCCCCAAAATTGTATTACCTTCAGTTATCATCGGAAAGAGACTCCACTTCCTGTACCACCTTGAAAGCCACATCCCTCCTTTGATACACGGAAGAAAATGGCATTTGATTAGAACGTCACGCGACGGGATTATCTTCTCGACTATACACGTACCGATACACCCTTGCACGGATATATAACTGGTAAATAACGACAAGGCCACCCTGTAACGAACGAGATTCGTGGGCGAGGCCCCGCACTTGCTGGACGATACGTACGCCACACATACCTAACATAGTGGGTGCACGTATATATACGTTTACGATCGGCCTTGACATGTGCGTCTCTTTGCCCGTAAATACACAATAGTGACGAGGACGAAGATGTCGTTGTTGCGTTACGTATATATATATATATATATATATATATACCTACGGGTCGAGACTGTGCGGACACACGCGAGCGAGCAGATATGAAAGAATCACTTCCATTCGGCTTATCGCTGTGGGCTCCTTTATCCGTCAATTTGCCGAGAGGGACTCGTCGAGACGACGCTACTTTTTCACGAGCCAGAGTCCGAGGGTTTTTGCCTGTCAGTTTCATCAGACTGACATTGCCCTTTTTTGGGGGAGAGACGTTGTATGTATATAGTGTTATATTTTTCTTTTTTCTTTTTTCGAACGATCTGATAACGTACGTTTGTTTTGGAGAAACGCGCCTTTTCTGCACTTCAATAATTCATCGGCTCATCGATTGCGAGGTTCGCTGAACTTTGTCTTCCAGCTAAATAAACGCACTTGGAACAAGTTTTCCTGTTTTTTTTTTTTTTTTTTTTTTTTTTTCAGTCGGGACGAATGAGGTTGGAGAACATATCCTAGTCCCAGATAACCGTACATGCAATTAATAGTCGTGCAGGAACGTCGTTTTCGGTAACGGCGCAAACTGTCACCCCGTGAATTTCCGCCCGTATACGCATGTCTCAATCGCTATTAGTAATCAAGGTTTCTCTACTGTGCCCGGACGCGCGCGACGCCGATTTGCAATTTAATGGGCTTTTCTTCCATCGGATGAATCAAACGCCAAATGGGGGGGGTCGAAGGAGCTCCTTCCGTAGGGTGAGCGCGCGTATTCCTCGTGATTTTTCATCCCCCTTGCGATCGAATCAATTTGGTGACTTTCATGTTTTTTTTTGTTGATGTTGTATGGCCTACCGTCAAATTTATGTGCCCAAGCCGTATATATACAATCGTATACGAGGTTTGCCGATCTTCATCTAAGCCATTTAGCTCTGACGAGCCGCGACTGGAGACTACAATTAAAGAAAAAAAGGCACTTTATTACCGCTCGATCGATCGTGTGGGTAAAAAAAAAAAATTATTTATAAATATCATTGGTTGTGCAAAGATAATCGTACAGGTACACCTGAGTAGGTACAATCATCGCTATCTGAACGACCGACGACTTTGGCAAATACGGATTAGGGAGACGATTTCCTTATTGACTCGCAATTTCTCGCTACATATACTCATACTTTCGGTAGATGGTGGCAAAAAAATCGAGTCACAAACATATAGGGGAAGAGTATACGTGAAAATGAAACGATGATTAAACGGATCACTGATTTGGTGGGGGGAAAAAAAAACAAACTATTTCTTAGAATCACGTTGAATGCAGACGTACCCAATTGACAAAAAATTATTCATAAACGCGTTAAAATTGTACAAAAAATCCGCGTGACGTAACCATAAAGAGAGCAGCGCGTGTGTCCCAGGTCAAGTTTATGGGAGGATCCGGCATACGTACAAGAAGTATGTACATATGCTTGAGTATATATTATATGGATAAGACGCAGCTACGGGTTTTCTCTCGAACATCGAGTATAACGTATAATACCAACATGTGTGTATACAAGCATGATAATAATACTTGCACGCCGCGCACGCGAGCCGCAGATGAAAGTAAAGCGGCAAATTTAATCAAGAGCCGCCTTAAGTAAACCAAGTCATCATTAATTAACAACATCCCGTGGGCTTCCCTCATATAATGTATATTAAGTACTCATATTGTGTAGCTATACGCGTATTTAGTTTCTCCTCCGTGTTGCACACGATATATACATGTATATATGTATGTATGTATATATGTACACGCGTCCGTCTTGGCAATCTATTTTCCTTTCTTTCCTCCAATCTTTGTCATCGTTTTAACGCAATAATCATCGTCGCAGTTGCGCGCGTACGCTTGACTCATGCATCAGTAAAAACGAAGATGTAAAATTTTTCGCGACACAATTGCTCCCCCGTCAAGAGAAATGGAAGACATGCAGACGTACAACACCAGATATACATGTTTGATGCCGATGATGAATAGAAGAGGGTATATATATATATATATATTTTTTTTTTCTCATTTCGTTGCATGCGGTAGACAAGAGGTATACACAAGGCCACATCTTTTTGTTTCATCGCGATTGCCGGTGCGGTCTTCCATCCACGCCTTACAGGAGTTTTCTCTTGGATAAATCTAACCGAGCCAAGGTATACTATACTTAGGTACCGATGCCATGTGCATTATAAATAAAAGCACGGAAAAGAATGCATTTACAGTTTAAGAGGGTAATTGTTAAAATGCCGATCGATTGGCCGATCAACCGTTAACTGCAGCGTTTGATCGGACGAGCCAATAAGGCACGCAAGGGATTGGTACGATTGCGCGAAAAGTGGTAAGACGAGCCCTTTCGGAACACAAATGTATACCGTAGAGTAGCTGTTTTCAGCGATTTTGATAAGCCACTCGATCGTATACAAATCTGTGTGGTATCTGTAAGTGGGTATGAAAAAAAAAAAAAAAAAAAAATTGTACCTCGATCGGACAATTGAGTAGGGCACGTAGCGCAAGGAGCCCTGGTATAATACATGCGCGTATCCATATATTATGCCGTGCCATTAACGTGACCCCATTTTTTTTCGGGAAAAACACGCGTGCAACAGACTTTCGGCATACATCCTTACCATTTTTTTTCGAAACTCCATGCACGTGCGCGCACAAAGCGTAATAATACAACGTCAGAGGGTTGTACGGCGCGTAAAATGTACGTAGCTTCACAACCGGAGCGAATGGGAGCGCGATGGTGACGCACCGCGTATATACATAATATACGGTCGACCGGCCCGGCTAGATCGATAAACTCTCCCTTAATTCCGCCCTTAATGCGTACAGTTATATTATATACACACGTCGCACAACAGTTGATGTGTATAATATATACGTATATTACGTAAAACGTCCCTGTAGTGTGTGTGTACAAAGGCACACGTCATCGCACGCGCAGTCAAATGAGTATGGGCCAAATGTACGTACAACAAACGTATACCTACACGTACAAGATGTAGACTCCAAGGGAGTCTAACGGAGCTACATGTGTGTGTGCCCTTTCTACTTTACTACGTATTTACTCCTGTGTACATGCATACACCATAGCTCAGAGTAAATAATAATTATTATTATTATTATTATTATTTTCTGCATAGTCCGCGCTCCGAGGTACCCATCAACCGAAAGGGAGACAGAGAGTATGTCTCTATTACTCCTTTTCCATTTTGATGTGGGAGAGGGTGCGACGAGGGAAACGTGACCGAGGATCCGTTGTGGTCTGCTCGGGGTTCATTAGTCGGATGGGAATTTTTTTTTTTTTCTTTTTCTATCAAAAAAGAATGCGCTCTTGAGGAACGATTGTCCGGAATAAAGGAGTGCTCGAGTACTTTGGAATTTATTCTTTTTTTTTTTCCATTTTTCAAGCAAGTATAATTATGTGCACATTGCCTAACGACTCGATTCGTTAATCAAGTTTTCGGGTATTGTTTTTGACGCTTTTGCCAAAGTGCGATGTAAAACGATGTTATAATGTACGTGTGTACCCCGTTACAGCGAGCGTGAGGAAGCCGAACCACAACAAGTACGTGGCCTGTTACTTCCAGAGTTGGGCGATATACCGCAACGGCGAGGGCATCTTCCAAATCCAGGACATCAAGCCCGAGTACTGCACCAACCTCATATACTCGTTTGCCGGCCTTAACGGCGCCACCTTCGACATCAGGAGCCTCGATCCTTGGGCCGATCTCGACGAGCAAAATGGTACTTTTGTCACCGGAACTGATGAACTTTTCTTTTTTTTTTTTTTTCATTTCTTTGTTTCTTTGTTTGTTTATCATATTGGTAATAACAATCATTTTGCCTCTCTCCCCATCTACAGCCTTTGTTTATCATTTGATTGTATTATCATTGTGTGTTTCAACATACGATCCTTTTAGACCCATGAGTTGTTAACATGTTTACATAACGCATTCGACTTGGGTGTTTTTGTATTTTTTAGTCCCATCAATTATACAATATATTGCTCACTCTGTGTTTAACCATATCTTCCTCTAATGCATCTATTGGCCAGCACCATTGGACGACCATTTGCTCAAAAATTGTCCTTTCCCCCCCCCCCAATGTAAACAATAACCCGTGTGGTGTGTTGTATATTAGATATACATATATATATTTTTTTTTTTGGTACAAATTAACTATATGTATACTGTACTTGTGAAGAGAAAAGAAAAAGAAAACCCATAATTAGTTTGATAAATGCTCTTTATGCAAAGAAACGTATTCCTCAGGTCGGGCGGGCTACAAGAAGCTAACCCAGATGCGCTACCAGTACCCGGGCTTGAGGGTGTCCCTGGCGGTGGGCGGTTGGAACGAGGGCAGCTACAACTACTCGGAAATGGCCCGGCAACCCAGCCGGAGGAAGAAGTTTGTCAGCAGCGTCGTGCACTTTTTGAGGTAAAACAAAGACACGTAGTATAAATATATGTGTACATCCATGTTGCGCTGGTAAAACATAACGTGATGTATATGACAATCGTGGGTTTTTGTTCAGAGCCCACAATTTCCAAGGTCTCGATTTGGACTGGGAGTTCCCGACCGCGAGGGGCGGCCAGCCCTACGACAGGGAGAACTTTGTCCTACTGCTCAAGGTACGTGTGCCTCATTCTTGTTTTTCGATTCACCGATACGGCAATCTGGAGTACATGTGGATTTCGAGTCTTCGGTCAGGATCTGAAGCGAGCCTTCAGGGAACACGATTTCCTGCTTACGGCGGCGATAGCAGCCGATACCGAGAGCATGCAGAGCCGCTACGACATCCTGAAAATAGCCGAGTACCTCGATTACATCCACCTCATGACCTACGACTACCACGGACTCGAGGGCCAAGTGGTCATGCCCAACGCCCCGCTTTACGAAGTGGTGAGTCACGGTGCACCCCCAATATGTACAAATAAATAATCATCTGCAAATACGCGGTCCCTTTGCAGAACAACACCCTGAACTACATATTGAATCTGGGAGTGAGGCCGAGGAAGCTCGTTTTGGGCCTGCCCACGTACGGTAAGAGCTACGTGCTATCCCACGGCTTGAGGTCGCAGGACGAGAACCCGATCGGCAAGAGCAGCTTGAGGAACAGCTGGCCGGGACCTTACAGCAACCAGGAAGGTTTCCTGGGCTACAACGAGGTACGCACAAGACAGAGTTCCTTTAAACAACAACAACAACAAAAAGAAGTCTACACATGAGGGGGTGGAGTTTATTGCTCCACATGACAGCGCGGTTCCTCGAAGGGTTGTAATTAATGTCCTTTCGCGGCGGTCGATGGCCCCGGCTGGTTGTATGTTTACCTCTACGTATACATTTTTAATTTCTTTTCCCAAGCCCCGGTGAACTTTGACGACCCCACCTATTAAATTGCGTATACGGCGCGATCGAGCGCGCATGTCTACAGTAAAACAGGCAGTTACAATAGCAATTGATGTAGGTTTGCAGATACCTGGTGACGAACGACTCGTGGATCGGTAAGTGGGACAACCTGAGCAGCACTCCTTACGCGATCCACCAGCGACAAGTGATCGTCTACGACAACGCGAAAAGCTTGCAGGCCAAGGTAATATATAACAATCGTATGATAAATAATAATGGCACCATTACAAAAGTATACATGGTTAGTCCATGTCGAGACGTTGAGTAAAACAAAAAACGTCCCTCGTAGGTCCGCCTGGCGATGGAAAAGGGCTTGGCAGGCGTGATGATCTGGAGCATCGACACGGACGACTTCCGGGGTGACTGCGTGCCGGATTACAAACGCGGCCGGGTCGACGCGCTCCAGCACCAGTACCCGCTCCTGCAAGCCATCACCTTGGCCCTGGAGAGAAACTCGAGCGGCAGGGCATCGTCCACCCTCGGTCTGGCCGTCATCCTCGTGCTCTGTACCCTGGCCCACTCTGTTCTTCGTTTCGGCCACTAAAACCATACGCGTGTATTATTAGCTCCGCCTTTTATCTCTTCTTCCTCATGCACCCTCGATTTGGCTCACCCCCGAGGGAGCCATCCATCCGACGTCCCTTTTCGGTACTCCACTTGTGGCGCGCAAAAGCTCCTGTTGATCCGAGGGATTGATTTAACGAGCTTCGCCCAGGGGATGATTGCGGCTTTTGTCGTCGCTCCCTCGAGGGTCGCTAATTGTCGGATGGGTTCGGAATTCGCGCTCACATGGAGAGGAGCTTTTTTTTATTGCTCGTAAGAAGAAGGTGAGGACGTAGAAATCCGAAGGTATATGATATATGTGTGGACTGATGGTTGTTGTGCGAGGAGGGATGTTGGTGAAAAGTGTTCCGGACGAGAGTTGAGAAAAAAAAAGAACCCCAATGCCTTGGCATTTGCCGCGTGTGTTATTTTTCGAAACGTCGTGCCTCCCGATGTTGTCAATTGCTCGTATATGATAATTTGTACGACGATTGAGGTGAATATAGGTAAACAGTGGCATTTTTACACCACCTATATTTTTCTTTTACCTGACCTTTTACGTACGTTTAGTTTAACAAGGGGTCGCGTGAACTAGCTAATAATTATTCTGGTCATTAAAATTACTTTTGCCACTAACACTACACTTCCAAGGCAATGTTGCATAATCTGCCATAAAACTTTAGACGACATTGATTTACCCTTAACCGATTTTCTTCGTTGAAGTTAGTTTATTCTCGTGTAAAAAGTTGTCGTTGAGGACCACGGGTTTTCTCAAAGTTCGATTGATCATTTGATCGTTGTAAGACACAATTATATTTATTAAGTATTAAAATCTTTGCGAAACGTAAATTCGTAATACATAATCATACTCGTATGTGTGTAAGGAAGAAAAAAAAAAAAAACTTATATAGAGTTGCAAAGTTTAGCTCAAGTCTTCTATATTATATATATATATATACAGTAC